GGGAATGTGCTCTTCTTTTTCCCGCATCCGTTGTCTTCCAACAATGCCCACACCTCACTACACGAGAGACGAAAACCTTAATAATATGCATCCAGTACCCCCTCTCACCTAAAACTAATCATTTTTGTGACTCACTGTTGTGTAAAGAGTATTCTTCACCAACCCGTCTGATCTCTGTATGTCTCAGCAACTCAGTGTTCTTTGTTGTTTTGCCTCCCTCGCTCAACCCCCTCCCCCTACACACAACATCTCTCTCTCTCTCTGTCTCTCTCTCTCTCTCTCTCTCTCTCACTCTCTCTCTCTCTCCCTCTCTTTCTCTCTCTCTCCCTCTCTCTCTCTCTCTCTCTCTCTCTCTCTCTCTCTGCGTGTGTGTGTGTCTCTCTCTCCATCTATCTTTATCTCTATCTCTATCTTTATCTATCTCTCTCTTTCTCTCTCTCTTTCTCCCCCCCCTCCTCTCTCTAACTCTCTCTTTCTCTCTCTCTCTCTTTCAGTCTCTTTCATTCTCGTTCTTTCTCTCTCTCACTCTCTTTCTCTCTATCTATCTATCTATCTATCTATCTATCTATCTATCTATCTATCTATCTATCTATCTATCTATCTATCTATCTATCTTATCCTGTTTCTCGTTTATGCCCACACCTCACGCAACTAGAAACCATAAGAGCTCATTATGCCTACAATATCCTTCACCCCCTCCCTCCCTTCCCTCTTAGAACCCCTTTCGTTTTTCGGAAGCACATTATTTTTTATCGCCCCAAATCAAAACACCTCTCCCACCCCCTACTCTCACTCCCCGCCAAACCCCTTCGTTCCTTCAACATTTCAGCACTACCCCCCTGGTTGCCGTGTCCCCGAGAACCCTCTGATTGGCATTTAATACCGGCCAGGATGGAAATCATAGCAGACCGAAGGGAAAAACTGCTACCCGGGTAAACAATAATTGTCTACCGTTATCCGGGAATTCTCCACCAATCTGAGCGTTTAATTTCTTCGTGCCTCCATTTTTAAGTCATCTACCCTCTTCGGTACCGGCACACACATCTCGTATTGTCAATCAGTTTCACTCCAATGTTTGGAAAGAGTATTGCACAGGACGTGTGTGATCTCCAAACCGGGCATCAGACAGTCTTGTCCAACTTTGGGAGGCATTTATAACCTTATATGTGTCAATAACAACCATGCTGAAGGAAAGTATGTAAGAACATTTTTTTTAAAAATTCATATGAATACCAAAACAATAATACAGCTAAGATCCAGCTAGCAAACAGATACTGTTACTTAACAAGGCACATAAAAAACAAATGTTGGGTATGTCTGCTTCAATGTCTAGACACATACCAGAGAGGAACGGGACCGAAAACAGAATTAAAGCTTTTATACTTTTGTAACATTTTCTTTATTTGTGGTGATCTGTTAGTGAGTTTGTCTTGGAGTTTAAACATACATTTATATTTGTGGTCTAGAATCAAACGTACGTCTAATTTTTGTTTCAAGAAAAGTGTTATATTATTAATGCTGACTATACTGGTCAGCAAAGGGGATTTACATTAAGAATTCGCGCTAGTGTGCTATTCATTTTTTTTCTTTATTTTTCTTTCTTTTTTTTTCTTTTTGGGGGAGGGTTGGAAGGAATACAAAATATGAAAATTCCACTTCGTAAAGTGAGAAACCCCGCTAGGAAAATGGCTTTCGGCTACTCGGTTGAAATGGCTGTGCAGTTTACCTGTTTAAACATTGTGTCATTAAAATTTGTGGAAAGATGGTTGCGCCCTATTGAAATCCAGACCATAACGGTTGAAACTGCGAGCATGTTAGCATAAATGGGATGACACTTCTCCAGTAATTTCCTGGGTTGGGATTTGGGGGGGGGGGGGGGTCAGTCGAGAAATGTCGAGACTTTTTAAAGGATGCGTTTACTCGATCCAGCCTTTCTTATTTAAGTTTCATATGACTCTTTGAGGCTTAACAAATTGCCAAAAGCTGGTAAAGTTATAGATAGTACGCTGCTGGGGATTGATGTTTCTGATTTAGTAGTACACCTTCACTTTAATTATTATCAAATTTTTGTAACAGTGGATTTGTGCAGTCTCTCTCACTCTCTCTCTCTCTCTCTCTCTATTTCAATGGTAGCACTGTGTGTTCAGTAACCTCACTGCAGTTGGTACGAACGAATTTCTATATCTGTCTGTTCTTGCTTTTTTGGAAATGTGTCGTTTACTGAGGGTCGATAGTTGAAATTCTGATGTCAGTGGATGGCTATGGTCACTAAGCATTATTTCCGCCTTTTTTAGAACGTTTGTCTTGTGCAGATATTCAAAGTTACTTAGGTCTCTACCAATTGTTCTTGATGCCTTTCTTATCAACTTGTTTATTTTTATAATGTGCTGTCTTCCCATAGTAAGTGATACCAAAATTTACCAAAGTTTCTATTGTGGTGGGGAAGAAAATCTGGAGGATGGATGGATTCAGATTGAAAGTGAAAGACTTTAGTTTCATC